CGACACCATACGGGAGGCCACGCGGGCGATCCGCTTGTCTGACGATCTAATGATCCAGATCGCATTCCGTGAGCACGGACGGTCCATATGTATTTTCTCTTCAGGCGCGATTGAATGGATAGTGTTGATTGCAATAGACGGTCCAGATTCGTCCATACAATCAGACTAAACGAAAAATCATCGAACGGTCCTCCTCGCTCCACATCGACTCAAACAAGTGACTTGCATTGAATGGAGAGTAATATTTAAACTCCTCTTCGCAGGAAAGCAAAACCTTAGCCAACAGAGAGGTGATCAGAGGAGAAGAAGAAGGGCAGTCGGAAAAAGAATCAAATGCCAGAGAAGGAGGCCGACCGCCATCGCTGCCGCACTTGAGTCATCGTCGACACCAAAACAAGTATTTTTTTTCCTCTTCCTACTCGAAATTCAATCCCGAGTCTCCCTATACCCATATCGGAGCCAAATAATCAATAAATGAGCTAGAAACCGTAGACAAAGCTCGGCCGCGCTACCGCGACTAAAATCTGAAACCCTCTCTGATGATCTGCTTTCCATTTTTTGTTTCATGTGATTTTTTGACCACCGTGTTCATTGTATTTTTCTGGTGTAAGTTAGCCAAAGAGGAATCCCAACCGCGAAGGGGAACCAGCAGAGCCATCGTACCCAGAGATCCTTCGCTAGTAAGTTTCAGTTTTTTACCTTTTTCTGCCAACTGAGACTTCCTAACCTATTTTTTTGCAGGTTTACGCATAAAATCGGTCAAAACTAGCCAAAATCAGCTAGGCCGAGGTGAACTATTGCCGTGGACAATGGATCCGGCGCCGTGCTGGAACACTAAAATTTGCCGGAAATGTTTTAAAATACCTATTTTGGCCTTTTGGAGTATTTTTAGATACTTGACATGTGTTTTAAATTCCATAGAAAAATTCATCAAACTTGGGGACTGCCAAAAGGCGCAGTAAATAGTAAGATATTTCGAACACCGATTCGGAGTAAGAATCCCTTATCTTTTTTCCTGTTACGATAAATTAAAGCTTAATAATCAATAATACTGTGTTTTGTGAAAATTAAAAAACTCTAAAATTAATTACAGGTAACTGGTGGAGCCAGAACCGGTCAGTGCATATTCGTCCTAATATACTGTTTATTTTCTCTTATACTGCTTAAAATGTTTACTATTATGTTGTGTGCGTTAAATTGCTAATTTTTGTTGTCTTTTTGGTAATTTAATTTATCTAACTGCATAGCCCCAATTGTTGGTTTATTTACAATAGGTGTTTCAATTATGTTGTCTTGATTTATGTAACGTCTCTTTACGTAATTTATTGTTGATTGGTAAATATGAGATGTTGATATGTAATTGAGAATTAGTTGATAATGTGAATCTATGTATGAAAGCTTACTGGGTATCTTGAAAAATGGTGGACGGACCTGGTATATAGGAAAAATTCTACTATAAACATTACCTCAGTCGAACAGGTTAGAAAGTCTTATACCAAAAAGGTTTGAGAGATATGGTCCACCCTCATACCAGACAGGGTATCTAGGCGATGATATGTTTGTCGTCCATTACCAGACGGGGTGTGGAGACGACCAATTGATTAATAAATTTGGATATTGGATTCAAGCGTAGGGGGGAGGGGACATCCCTATGGACCCCTAGAGTACCAGTAAGCATAATGTTATTTGAATTATTATCCTTATAGGTCGATTTTTAAGTATATATATATATATATTTATATATTGACTATTAAAAAAATTATATTAAATTCTTAACTGTAATTATTTAAAATAAAAGAATCTAGATGTCATATAATGTTTGCTAGTCCAATTTAGTCACTATGCCCCACCAATACACTTGATGAGTTATTGTTCCCACTTAATCAAGTATCTCATAATTTGATTATCACTAATTAAACTTTGGAGTAGCAAATTTTATATCTTTATGTATATTAATTATAATTTAGTACTCCAAATTGGTATTTAGGCTGTAATTAATTGGAAGAAAATGGCTCAACAATTTTTTAATTTTCTTGAAGAAATTAATTGGTTGCAACATGTTCCCGTCGGCTATTCTCTTCTTATTAAACAATAATATTAGTGTCTTAATCTTTTACTAAACATGTTTTAATCGATAATTTGAGTACGTGATTAAGCTTAGTTAATTTAAAAATTAAATATGTTATTTTTGGTATTTTATATTAAAATTGGTGTTCATATTAAAAAAAATACCTTTTTTTTTATTTATAAAATAACTTCATACTTTATTTTAAATTTCTCTTTTAATTTAAAAAATAAAAAAATCGAAATGATTGTAAAAAATTAGGCATAAAATTACAAAGGGGCAGAGGAAACCGCACGAGCCCACTGTATTCCTGCTGCTTGGCTGCATCGACACCATTCATCAAAGTCAAAACGACGTCGTCACTGCGTACTGTTAAATTACCAAAACACCCTTCCCACCTTCATGATTTTCAACCTAACAAGCCCTATCTTGAGGATGGGCATTTTCGTCATTCCAAATTTACCTTCAATTATACAACTCGATCAGAATATCCGTGCAATCATCAACTGGTTTTCCGCTGAGATTGGGCCCCCACCAACAACCGGATAAGCCTGTCCAGATAATGCCACGTGTCCTTCGTGTTTCGATCTCCACGTGGCATCTATGAACCTCTTTTGATCACCCACGTTGTGGGTCCCCCCACGCCTCTGCTGTTCGGATAAACACTTAGTTGTATTAACTAAATAAAATTATTGATTAAACTTTTTAATTTTGATTAAATTAAGTTAATTAATTTTCTAATTATATTTCAAAAAAGTAATTATTTTATATGGGTAAAGCAGAGTCATGTTGACATAGAATATTTTCGAGTATATCCAAAAGGGTTCTTAATCTGTCTATCATTGGTCGTGCTGACATGGCAAGCGGTAGTCTAATCTTGAAATCCATCACCCACCGAAAACAATTCCTCTATTTCCCGACATATCCTGCCACGTGGCGGATAGAGACAATCACAACAACCCTCATGTTCGCGGCGGCCCGTTCGTCCACTTCGGAAAATAGGCCCCACGTGGGACCCAAAAGCTCCCTATAAATTCCCACAAATTCAGCAATCAATCAAGGCTCGTCTGAAAATAACGAAAAATAGAATTCGAAGTAGAAGAAAACAAATTTGAACATGGCCGGAGTTTTGGCCGAGATTCCGGTGAACCGTCCGAACTCCGACGAGATTAACAAGTTCCTCGACGGCACGGCGACGTTCGTCGACGCATTTTTTGGACTCATAGAAGACGGAAATGATTCGTCGCCGGAGATTTTCCGTGGCGAAGATTATACTGTCGGTGACAATGAGGACGGTGATGATGAGAATTCCTGCAACTCGGAAGAAAATAGAACCTTCTGGGAAACACAAGAACAACTTCTTCAAGTAAATATTCATTTCCTCTGATTCTTCTTTTTCTTTTTTTCTAATTTTTACTTGTAAGAGCTTGATCGAGATTAAAGTTTTTTCTGAAAATTCTGGAAAATGCTATGAGTTAATAATTAATCTATTACATTTTACTTTGTTTAAAAAAGGCAACATTATGTCGGACTAGTTCGCTTGAATCCAAAATCAGACAAGCAACAAAAGAGGCGTTGAAAGAAGTGATCGGTGGAGAATGTGGATGTTCCCGGAGACTGGCCGCCGGAGATTGCCGGAATTGTTTAAGAAGAGAGATCTCCGTTCGGCTTCAAAATTCAGGATATAACTGCGCGATTTGCAAGTCCAAATGGAAAAGCTCGCCGGAAATCCCCTCCGGTATATACACACACACACACACACACATACTCAAAATAACATATATATACTTAACTAATTACTGATGATAATTTGTTCTAATTTTCTTTCAGGCGAACATCTTTATTTGGAAGTGACGGATAAATCGAGTTCAAAAAAGGGGGAGATAATTAGAATAGTAATCGAATTAAGTTTTCGTGGAGAGTTCGAGATGGCGAGAGCAAGTGAAGAATACAAGAGATTAGTCCGGCGATTACCGGAGGTATTCATCGGCAAATCGGAGAGATTAAAAACCCTAATTAAAATATTATGCGGCGCCGCGAAGAAATGCATGAAAGACAGGAAGATACACATGGGACCGTGGAGGAAATACAAATACGTTCAAGCCAAATGGTTTGGCACGTGCGAGAGAAGTCTGGTAACGCCGTCGGCGGCGCCGTCGACGACCGGATGTAATAATCGGCCGGGAAAGCCTCAGGCGTCGATGTTGACGTTTGATTTGTTAGAGTTAGAGAATTTGGCTGGAATCCGTTGCCCTGTTGTGGCCGTCGTTTGATTTTGGGGGAAGAGGGTTTTGAGAGGTGAAAATAAAACGTGAAATTTGGGTTTCTCTTGTATGGTTGTATCATGTGTGTGTGTGTATATATATATGTATGTATGTATGTATGTATGTATACGAGGTGTAGCGTATGAGGTCGACGGGTAGGAATTTTGGTCATGATCAATAAAATATTTTGATAAAAAAAATATAAATCTCCCTCTCTCTCTCTATATACATATATATATATATATATATTCATTTTTTCTTATTCTCACTACACTATAATTTATTTTCCCTTTCCATGTTGGTAAACAATGTGAATAATGAAAATTTTTTATATCATAATCTTTACATAGTTTGTTAGTGAAATATTTGGTAAAAATCAACATCCAATTTCACTTTTTTTTTAAAAAAAAAAAAAAAACTTTTTTAGAAATGTCTTTTCCTTTTAACTTTTTTTAAGGGGATAAATTATTTTATTTTTATTTTATATAATGATTATATATGTTAAGAATGCATGAAATTAACATATAATTTATAAATAAATATGATTTTTTAAAATTGATATGTATAACAACCCATACAATAATTAATGTGTATAATGGTTGGAAGATATATTTTAGTGTCGAATACCGCCGATGTCAACTGTTGGGGGGAAGAGGTGATTGAGAGTTTGTCTATTTAAGAGTTAACTGATGTGTTTTGTTATATGTGGAGAAGTTGGCAAGACATGAGCGAATTGCTCTAGATTGGGAAAACATATACGGACCAAACATCTATCTATCTAGTGACGAAGTATGTGGAAAAATGGCGGCAAGCACAAGCTTTGAAGTATAACTTTACACCACATAATAGTAAGGCCAAAGAAAATATATAGCAGTGGCAACCATCGGTTGTAGAGTCTTGAAAATGTAATGTGAACAGTACGATGGGAATGTAGTAGGTTTTGGAGCGGCAATAAAAGAATCGATAGGGATAGTTTTATTTGTATTCTCTGGACGAATGACTGGGCATAGGTCCTCATTCCAAGCTGAATTACAAGAATGCTGATAGGTGTTGAACTACATCATGGGGAATGTCCAAGGCAGGGGAAGTATGGAGATAGACTCTCTGATGGTCAGAGAGCATTAACTGAGGCGGAAGAGAATGCCTTGGAGTTTGGATATGTCATTACTGACCGTAGAGAATTGCTAAAGCAGAGACCAAACATTCAAATCACATGAACTCGATGGACTTGCAACCAAGCGTTGCACGAACTTGCCAAACTCGTTAAAATGAAAAGTCTATTAGCTAGGTTTCATTTCTGGGATGTATTACCTGCTCACATTGTTGTATTAGTTCAATGATTAATGTTTGTTTTTTTAGCTTCCTTTCAAAAAAAAAAAAAAAAACTCATACAATTCATTAACAAATAATAAATTGTATGAAAATATTCATGATATAAATATCTTTTTGTAAAAATCCATACTTTTTTTTAAAAATCAACTAAAAAGAATTCATTATTCTTCATAGAAAGTACATAAGCATAACTTTTTTTTTTTTTGAGAGAAAGAAAGAGAGTGAGGCTAGTATTTTTTTTATGTATATTTTTCAACTTCTTGATGAATGTGATAATTAATTATTTTTTAAAATTTTTTAAGTGGTAACTATTAGGTTGTTATCACTACTATTAGTTAATTTAAACCATGTCGTGTTTCATCATGAGTGACTCACTCGATTAAATTTAACACTATCAATTTCACAATCATTAAAATAAAAAAATTTCATAAAGAGAGCATTTATAACTTATAAAGCTCCATTAATGTAAATTTACCTCAAGCAATGTTCTTTAACTATTCTAAGTAATAATCATCCTATAATATATTTAATAAAATTCAAAAATTTCTTAGTAATATAATATATGAAAAATATTCATAAAGAAATATTTGAAAATTTTACTACTTCGTAGTTTAATTAAATTAATCTATTTTAATAATTTTATGATAAAATAAAATAAAATAAAATGATGTAAACTTTGTTACTAACTAGTAAAATATTAAGATTATATTCAATAAAAAAAATAAAGGGTATATTTTATATTCTCGTAAATTATAGTTAAAAATACTTAATTAAATTTATTTTTATTTAAAATAAAATAAAATACGTATAATTTTCATTTAAAATTATACTTTTAAATATATTAAGTCAAACTTAAATTATATAAAAAAAATATCTTCATAAATATCATAAGTAACTTTTTGCTAATTGACCTAAAACCCTACTTTTCAACATGGTGTATGATTGTATTGACAACGAAAATAATAAAATAATAAAATAATAAATTAAAAAAAATAATTATTGAAGAAATATTTCAATAAAGTTCTTTAATTAATTATTGTTTTTTTTTTGGAATTTTTTGATTTAATTGCAATTTTTTAGTTGACAAAGCACATATGCTAATGAAAAGACTTTGACAAATATTCTAATGAATAATTATGACTCACGAAGTATATATATAAATATATATGTATACACACACACACACACACACACTATCTATACATAATTAATGTATATATATATTACATATATAATGGATATAATTTGTACTTTTTTTTAACACATGGAAGGGTTTTTAAATATTTTAAATAATTAAACAAATTTCTTAATAATGTATAATACTATATAGTATGAGTTGAATAATATATAAATGATAAATTTATGAAATGGTAGATTATTTGGTTAATTATTTTCTTATTAATAAATTGATAATTAAATTTTAACTAGAACATATGTATCTATATATATATATATACACACACACAATTAAGAGGAATATGTATATATGTATATATACAAGATTAACATATACGACCATATGCAAAATTTTCACGTGCGTAATTAACATTAAATTATATGGAAAAAAGACTACTAATTATCATCAAACACTTGGATATATCCCATTTGAACTTGAAGCCGAGTGATAGACCATATCGTGGGGTTGATGTCCTATGCCGTTGACCATAATTCTAAGGTCAACCATCACTACGAAAGTCATACTTAGTGGGTGCTCTCTGCATATACATATATATGTGTGTGTATATATATATATATATATGTAGTATATACATATGCCATGATCTTTATAATGAAGGTCAACTTGAAGCCGTGTGATAGACCCTGTCGTGGGGTTGGTGTCCTATCTCTTTGACCACTATTTTTACGTCAACCATCACTGTGAAAATCATGCTTAGTGGGTGCTCTTTGCCTACGTCTTTGGATCACTTTAACTATATATATATATATACATACATACACACACACACACACATATATATATATATATATATATGAAATATACCATGTCTTGATAATGAAGGAGGGTGATGTTTCCCGGAAAGTGAATGCAAAAAGACAAAGTTAAATAAACAAACATAAAGGTTAATTGATATAATCACGATTAAGAAAATTTAGTCAAAGTTGATGGCTAACGAGTAAGATTAGTACGACATTCGTTAATTCTTATCATAATTTTTGTATTATTGATTAACGATGATCATCGATTGTTATATAATATCTAATTAAGTAAATTTAAATTTTAATTAATTAATAGTGTTAATCGATATTGTAGTTATTAAATTTTGTTTCGTTTTTATGAATTATTATGATTTTAATGAAAAAATAATAAATAAATACATTAAAGTGATATTAGTTATTTTAAATTAATTTATTTATATTATAAGTTAACGAAATATAATAGAATTTTTATTAATTAAATTAAATTTTGTTCTAATAAATTTGAATGTATTTAAAAATTAAATACTTCATAATAAAATAATTTATAATTATAAGTGTGAACTGCTGTTAGTCTTTTTAGCTTTTCCATCATTATCTTTGTGGACTTTAATTTGCTCTTTTTTCCACTTAAAGAAGTGTCTGTATGTACAATACGTGTGTACATATATGTGTATATATATAAATATGGGAGGACAGACTACTCAACTGGTGTGAGGTGGTGATCATAGTCAAGGGGATTGTAACTTTAAATGGGATTGTTCTTGCTAGATCAGAACTTGGAGTTTCAGAAAGATCTTGTTCATCGTATTCATATACATGGATCATCACAGGAAGAATCGCAAGCAACCTTCTAGCTCAATCAAAGTTGAGAGAAAAATAATCGAGAAAAACAGAAGAAATCACATGAAGATCCTCTTCAACAATCTATTCTCTCTTCTCCCTCAACATTCCACCAACCCGAAGGTATATATGTATATATATATATGTAAGTATATGTCTACGTAAATGCAGGAGTTATATATATGTATGTATACACACGTATGATTTTGATGCAAATGCAGGAGCAAGGGCTAACAGTGGCAGATCAAATAGAGGAAACTGTGGAGTACATAAAGAGCTTAGACAGTAAGCTGAAGAAATCCATGGAGGAAAAAGAAAGATTATTAATGGCGATCAGAAACTCTAGGTCAACAAGCTTCTGCAAATCTTCGTCGTCTTCTCCGCCAAAAATTGAGATTGGTCAAGTGGGTTCTTCGCTGGAGATTGTTTTGACAAGTGGGTTAGATTATCAGTTCATGTTTCATGAAATTATCTGCCTGATTCAACAAGAAGGTGGTGAGGTTCTCCACGCCAATTACTCAGTTCTGGGTAACATGATCTTCCACATTGTTCATGCAGAGGTCAGTTCTCTACCTCGGAATTTTTCTTATTAGCTTAAACTTTTTCATATTATCGATTCAATTAATCATTTAAGATAATATCAGAGTTGGAATTTTCGTGTTCAAATCAAATTACTGATAAATTTCAGTGTTTTTTTTTTGGGTGTAGATTTCTGAATCAAAGTTGGGTATTGGAGCGGCAAAAATTATAAGAGAGAAGCTTAACAAGCTGGTGAATGGTTGCATGAACGACGAAGAGGAGTTATGGGATATTCAAATCCATAATGAAATGTGGGGTTTCTAGAGTTTCTTCCATGCATCCTTATAATTATGTTTTGATATATCTATATATAAATATATATATATATGTACTTGGAACTTTATGTATCACAATTGTGATTTTGGAGCTAAAAAATGATTAATGTATTAATGGGTTTTGGTCTGAATACCTATACACACACACACACACATATATATATATATATAAAGAAGAAGAAACAAAAATTATTAGTTATTACAAGGGTATAGAAAAATTTTAAGATGTAACTAATAAATTTTGAACTTTATTTTCATAAACTTGTTTAGAAAGAGATTTGAAACATACAAATTATATTCTCGAAGAATACCAATTCATCTATTATACTTCAGAAACAAGAAATGTTGATTAATCCGGGAGTTAGTTAACATGATCTGATCACATCAAAAATAAAAAAAGAAGAGTTTAGATCAAAGACCGAATCATTTTAATTTTAATTTAGATCGAAACAAAGCAAAATTTTACATTTTTTTTTAAAATTTTAAATTTATTTTTATCTTTTTTTTTTTATAAAAAATAATATTTATTTTATTTATTAGACTAAACGAATCAATTTTTTCGGTCTCCTATAATATAAACTAGTATTCAATGTGAATATTATTATATTAAAGATAATAAAAATATATTATTCGTTTAAACAAAAATTAAATAATAATAATAAATACTATATAGTTATAATTTATAATTAAATTTATATTATTTAGTAATTAAAATAGAATAATATATGTTTAATTATTAATTATAAACAATAAAAATATGATAAATAGAGGTAAAAAAAAAGTCTTCTTTTATATTTATTACAAATAAAACAAAAAAAAAATTGTACTTAAAAAAACAAAAATATATTTTTTCGAAAAAATTATTATGTTGGAGACAATAAAAATATATTATTCGTTTAAACAGAGACTATATAATAATAACAAGTATTATATACTAATAATTAATATTTAATTAGTGCTAATTAGTATTTAAAATAA